TGAAAGGAAGGAAAAAAAAAAAAAAAAAAAAAAAGCTAGTTTAGACAATGCCAACTCTGTGTTTCGGAAAGTATCTGTAGTGCTAACCCTTCAAAAAATACCTAAGCCTAATTTTGTAAATAATCTACGCAGGTTGCTGAAATAGTGCGGTGAAGAGATAAGAGCATAAACTTAGTAGTTAGACTCAAGTTCAAACTCTGGATGAATCATTTCGTAGATTCTTTACAGGGAGTGTGACCTTGAGCAAGTTATATGTCCTCTCTGAGTCAGTTCTCTCCTCTACGAAAGAAGAATGTTGTTCTCTGTCTTGTAAGCTTAAAGTTCCCCAAATGTACTCATAATTACTATTATCATACCGTATGCCCCTGAGGGGCCTGGAACAGAGTCTTCTATGAACTCTACAGATTTTTTTCCCCAAAAAGCTAGATCTGCTTTTATTTATTTATATTTATATAGTATAAGTTATTCTTATCATTTTGTATATATGAAAGTTTAAGTGTGTGGATGTGAAAGAGAACTGTACAGACTACTGCCCTCTACTGGACAGAATAAAAAGACATTGTTAAACGCTTGAAGCCCTTGCAGTTTCTACATCTTTAAAAATGAAAAAGTTAATTCTCAATAACTGTTTCTTTACAATTTAATACAAATCGAGGTTTTTAACCATGGAACTATTGACATTTTGGGCCAGATAATTCTTCGTTGCGGTTCGTTGTCTTGTGTATTGTAGGATATTTAGCAGCATCCTGGGCTTCTATCTACTAGATGCCAGTAACCTTCCCACTCTAGTTATGAAACTAAAAGTGTCTCCCCCTATTTCCAGATGTCCCATGGGGGACAAAATTCACCCTAGTCGAGAACTACTAATCTATGCTGATAATTACTGATTTCATAATTTATTAACATTAAGCTATACAAATGAAAAAATTTTTTCCTTTATTTTATAAAGTAACCTGATACCCTTCTTATATCAAGTTGTAAGTAAAACATTTTAATATTATTATATAATATAATATATAATATTTTAACATTCCAATTTCAGTTTTTCAAAAACACCAATTAAATTCCAGAAAAACTTAGTATGCAGTTCTTAAATGAAATTAAATGACATGATTCAACCCATCCATTCTTTATTCTTTTATTTTTTTCATGCTTCATTCAGTGAACAAAAAGTACTCAAAATTGAATTTAAAAAACTCTGCTCTTAAGAAGTTATCAGTTTATGTCTTGTAGGTGGAGGGGACAGATAAATAAAGATGCATTTTCAAAGAGCTTAGTAAATACCACAATAGTGAAGCCTCATTTCACAGGTGAAAATCTGATGCCCAGGAAGATAATATAACTTTCCATTGTCACACAGACAATCGGTAGCACAACCAAGACTAGAGTCAAATTTCCTAATACTGAGAACAAGATTCTGTCTATATACTTAAAGTTTTAGAGTGACAGAAATTAAAGTCCAAGTCAAAGTCACCTTGATTGGCAGTTACCACTTGACAATAGTACCTTGCTTATTATAAAAGGAAATCACAAAATTAGAAAATGTAAAAACTAATATTTTTAAATAAATAAGACCAATAAAGATTTTTTATTAGTTATGATTTAACAGAGTTTGATTTCATAATCTAAGTGATCAAGAATCAAAATAATAATAGCAGCTGTATTAGGTTTTTATTCTATGTCAGGTGCTATACCACCTGCTTACCATGCATTTATTAATTGAATCATCTGCACAATTCTAAAAAGTAGATGCCATCATTACCCCTATTTAACAGGTGAGGGGACTTAAACTTATATGTCTAGAACATGGAAAAACTGAGCTTTGAACCAAGAAAGTCTGATTATAGAGCCAGACCTCTCAACTACGCTATTTTGCTAGAGAAAATCTAGGGCTGGAATGAGAGAATGATTATTGATTAGAACTAATGCAAAGATTAATGTTTTCTTCAGTTAATTATGAATCATCCAAACTCCAATGATTAGTTGCCAAAACATTTTTTTTAAAAACCTGAACATAAATTTTTGGCAAATCAACATGCTTCTTCATTTAAATCTCAGAACAAATCTTTGAGGTGATATCCTTACTCTCATTGCACAGATATGGAAACAGGGCTTGAAAAGTTTGTCATATGTCTGAAAGTCTCAATTCACAGATGCATGTGTCTTCTTGGTCTGTAATATAGAGGCAAATCAAAGGAGTTATAAACAGTAGAAAGGGATAGAATCAGTATATACCAACTAGTGTAAAATATAATTAATTTGAACACTTAGTGCTTGTTTTAAGTAATTTGAGTCATTTATATCTATTTACCCCCAATTTGTATTATATACATGATATTTTGAAATATGAACTGGCATAAAGTGTTTTTTTTTTTTTTGATTCATTCTGTCATTTCAGCGGGACCAGCTGTTACTTGAAGATGTACTACCTGTACAAGAGGACGATTCTTTGATGTCTTCACACCCAATCATTGTCACTGTGACCACCCCTGCAGAAATAACATCTGTTTTTGACGGAATATCCTATAGCAAGGTGGGGAAAATATGGTATTGTTTTGAACATCTTCTTGTTGAGTGGCTTTTCTTTTAGTAAATGCCTAAATATGGTAAGATTGGTTGGACTATGCTAATGGGCTTTGGGAACTTATTCTGAGTGCCGAATTCCATAACTTCTGCTCTTCCAGAGAACTGACAAATGCTCATCTTTGTTTCAGGATTTTGAAACAGATTTACAAAATTTTTTCTTTCTGCTTTTGTTTATAACAGCTCTCATTCTGATCATTGGACATTCAAACTTTAAGCATCAAATTTTAAATTGTTGTGTTTGATTTTTTAAAAGACAGTAAATCAGCAAAAAGAACAAACTAATCAAAAATAGACTCACAAATATAATGGACAATTTGGTGACGGATAGAGGGGAGGGGGTTTAGGGGCTGGGAGAATGGGGTGAAGGGTCAAAGAAGTACAAATTAGTAGTTGATAGATGGTCACGGGGATGGGGAGCACCGTATAGGGAATGCAGTTAGTAATAATATATTGGGTAGGTGGAAAACCAGAGGAGAGAAGGAGTAATTATGGGGATTGTTTGTATACTTGAAACTAAAATAAATAAACAAATTTATTTTTAAAAAGTTAAATACTTCTGTTAAATATTACCAAACTTCTCTTCAAAAGGATTTTATCAAGTTATATTCCCACCAGCGAAGTATGGAAGTTTCTTTATTCCCACCAACAGAATGTGTTGTCATAATTTTTGCCAATTAAAAAAAAAAAAAGTCAGTAAATCTTTTTCTGTCCACGTGGTCAAAGAACAATGCCATATATGTGGGTGCCTTATCTAGTAGAATGCTTTAGTACTTCTAATAAGTATTTGAATCCAACTCGGTTTAAAGGAATTTTATTATTTTTTTAATAAGATTTAAACGTGACTTTGTTAGTATGTTGTAAATGGGGCATTTTTATCTATTATAATTTTATGAAATGTTAGGGAAAATCCGTAGCGCCCCAAGTTTTATGTTACCCGTTTTCTCTTACAGCATCTCTAAACGTATACCTGTATGCGACGCAATTTTGTCATTTTTCACCTCAGCTTCTCAGAGTTTACCCGCTATGTTAACTCGCTCAAAAGCCACTGCAAACTAATACCTTTTGTTATTCTAGGTGATACCTAAAGTTTTATATAAAAATATTATAATTATTAAAGTAAATACTAGCTAAAATTGGCTTGAGTGAAAAGAAAAAGCCTTATATATATTAATTTGAAATTCATAGCATCATATTTTTTGTCGTTTCTTCTCATTTTATTCCCATGGCATTTTTTTCAGGCTTCTTTTATTTATTTTTCTTTTATACTGTCAACAACTCTTTTCATCTTCCTGTTAAAATGAAAGTTTCTAATCCAGGGAGAAGTTTATATTTGTTGAATCAGTTTTTTTTCCTGAGTCCCAAATACTCCATGGGTTTAAGATATCAGGTCAGAAATAAATAAATGTTTCTAATCCTTCTACTAGGTACAAAAAGAATTTATAATACTTAATAAATTATAGCAAAATTACTAACCTAAATATTTTTCTGATCAGCTACGTGAAAGTTGACTTAAAATTCTATTAATAGGAAATTTTAATACTAATCTCATAACATGTGAAAAGAATGTAGAGAGTAGAGGTATTCATCCGATTCTTCAGACTAGAGGAAACCCAATGAGATCAACCACTTTTGAAGAGAAAGATTTTATGCCTCAATTATATATCTATATTAAATTATTTGACCAGATAATTCCTCAAATATCTACTTCCTGCTGTTAAATATATTTTTAAGTATTAAAACATACATAATAAATACCCAAAATTTTATCTTGACACTACTTTTCTTATTCATAAAAGAACATCGTTGTTTAAACATTACCGCCTCTTTCATGAGGAAAGCCCCACCTGCTGGTTCATTTGATGAAGTGCAATAATTACTGGAACCTCAAGTCACTGAAATGCTGGCCGTTTTATCAATTTCCCTTTTACCTTTAAGTTATTTTAGAAGCACAGAAACAGGTAGTGTGCCAAGTGGTATTTTTATCACAAAATCATAGAGCTATAACCATGTAATTTAGCAAAACCATTTACAGGAAAGCTCACAAATACAACCATGACATACTAACCACAATAATGATCACTGACATTTGTCCTTTACATGTCCTTTATTAGTTTAATTTGCTTTTCTTTCCCATCCTAGGGTGCTTCTCTTCTGAGAATGCTTGAAGACTGGATAACACCAGAGAAATTTCAAAAAGGATGTCAGGTACAATTTATTACTTTTAATGATATTAAAACTACACTGATATGAGTTGTAAGATATGTGATTAATTAAGGACAATTCCCTTTTTACTTTTACTCTGCTTGGGGATAGATAACATAGCAAACATTAAAAAGAGAATTCACATCCAGTTAAGTGCCTATATTGTATCAGTGATTACCATTTGGTAGACATTTCATGGAGAATTTTAAACAGATTAAGGTACTGGCAAATTCAGATTTTGGTGAGGGCTGTCTTCCTGGCTTGCAGATGACTGCCTTCTTTCTGTGTTCTCATGCGTTGGAGAGAGGGCTGTGTGTCTCGAGAAGTGGGAAGAGAGGGAGGGAGAGAGGAGGGAGGTAGAAAGGGAGGGGGAGAGAGAGAATGAGATTTTGTGTCTCTTCTTATAAGGACACATCGTAAGAGTCTCACCCTCAGGACCTCATCTAAAACTAAAGGCCTCCCAAAGGCCTCATCTTCAAAAAACACCACAATGAGGATTAGGGCTTCAATGTATGAATTTCCAGGGAAAACAACTCAGTATGTAGTAACATGATATAAACATTTAAATCTATCTACTCAAATCTTCTCTTACAGCTTGTAAAAAGACTTTTCCTTATTACTGGATTTGAAAAATGATTAATATAAACATTCCTATTATGATGGAGTCGGTGACTAAAGAGGGCCTTTTTTCTTTAGGAAACGGAAATAATGATAAACATTCTAAAGTATTTCACATATTCCACTTAAGCTTATTACTCCCAGTAGTTGTTTTGGTTTAATTTTTATTCTTCTAGCAGACATTAAGCCAATTCTCTCGGGGTCTTATATTATCAAAGTAACGACAGTGTGTCCCTCCCAAGTGTCCTGTCTGCAGGTTGGCCCGTTGTAGCCTAGAGGTGGAACTGTCTTCCTCTTCTTTGCCTTCTGTCTCCATCCTCCCTGCTCTGACACCCCAGATAGTTAGGCAGAGCAGTGCTGATGGCGTCCAGCTCAGGAAGTGAACACAGGTCAGAGCAGTGCCCCTGCTGTCCTTCCCAAAGAGTAGAGGTACGGTGACTTGCCAGCACAGTGCCTGTCTGTCAGTCCTACAATTCTCACTACCACCAAGTCTGCTTATGTGGCATTTAGTACTTTCTATACTACTCCAAAAGGAAACAGTCCCCTTCTACTCAATACTAAAATTCCTAGGTGACTATGGAAGTAAGAAATAAGACCAGAATTTAGTAAATATTCAGGGAGTACATCGGTACCTCTTCTTCCTTTAGTCCATTAATAAAGTATTCTGTGTGGACATTAGGTGAAAAAGGAGAAACTGTGTGCTTGTTCTTAGATGTACATTAGAACATCTTATAAGTTTCCTATCAGCTTCAAATTCAAATTTCATCATATCTTCTCTTACTGTAAGCAGCTTTAGCAAGGAACTCTGTTCTCTGTGTCCTTGCATATACTCCAATGCCTAGTAGAATGCATTACACACGTTAGGAGAATCAAAAATGAATGAATGTTCATTTATTTATATATTCTATAGTATTTATTATAGACTATTCATTCATTCATTCAAGAAATAAACAGACAATTCCTTTTTAAAAATTAAAATCTGTCTACGGCCATGCTACCCTGAACAAGCCCGATCCCGTCTGATCTTGGAAGCTAAGCAGGGTCGGGCCTGGTTAGTACTTGGATTGGAGACCACCTGGGAAGACCATGTGCTGTAGGCATAAAAAAAAAGAAAAATAAGGGATTGTAAACTGACAAGGTCCTTGCAATCTGTGAGGTCAATGAAGGGTTTGCCTAAAATAATTTTTTAAAAAATTAAAATTTAGTTTACATAGGTTTCATTCTAAATTAGACTGATGAATAACACGTTTCTGGAATCTTCAAAGCTACCTTCGAATGAAATGATTTTCCATATTAACATTTTTAGAGACATACCAAAGAGTCTTTAAAAGTGAATAATTCAATAATACTCTTGCATTTCTTTCAGCCCAGTATCTGTGGTATAATTAATTAAAAATCCAGTCCTGTCTAAAATGAGTATTTCTCTCAAGTTAAAGCAGTCTTCTTGCACCCTAATTGTGACTATTGGTGGTACTAGAAGATGAACTAGAAAAAATAGATATTAATTTTTCATACCATAATAGTGCTCTGCAATAAATTTACAAAAAACAACGAAAAAAAACCCCACTGAAACATTAACTTTTTTCCTTCAATTTTCAAATACTAGCTGGTCTCTGAAAATACAGGCCACACTCAGTAAGCTCTCAAACCAACTGGAACATTCCTTCACACAGTTCAAGAATCCGAACAGAATCCTTCTTCGAGTTATCACCACAAGCCGTGACATTGTTCAAGATCTTCGCCTTGCACATACTCACTTTCTGCCCAAAGTGACTCTTTATTAGCTAATCTGGTGTGGTGCTAAATCTGGGGATGGCCGGCTATCTGTTCTCTTTCATGCCCATTACCTTTCCCCAAACCCCCATCACAGACAGCAAAGCGGGTACAGAGTGAGGGGAAATAAGAGCAAAACTATGAACTGGAAAATCTTTAAGGCTGTGTTCATACATAAGAAGTCAAAATAGATAATGCGGCGTTCGTGACAATGTCATGAATATAGTCATGAAATAGAAGCTGAGCAATATATCCATCCTTTCTTTTTCTCCTAGAATCAGTAGTATCCCTTATAAGACAGGAATGACTCGGCAGAAAAATGCCATTTCCCTTCCTGCAGTACTAGTAATAGAAACATTATTTTTTTCTTTTTGTGTTCAACAATACCAACTAATGAGGGATTGTTATTGGTTGACCTAAGTCATGGTGAAATTATGACTGGAACTGTCATTATTCAAGCTGAAGAAGGAAATTTCTTTAATATAGACTATTCAGAAATACTAATCTAGACAAAATAAAATGAGCACCTTTTAATATACTGTTTATATAAATGTCCATTTAACCACTTGCTCAAGAGAAGCAACAAAATGCAATTTAAAAAATAATAATAATAACAACAATAGTGATGAAAACCTCACAAACTCGTTCAGTATTCAGAATTCTCTTTAAGGTAATCTCAGGCAAATCTCTTCACCCCTCTAGGCACTAGTTTCCTTCGCTCCCAAAATGTGAGCGTTGTATTAAATAATATTTAAGGTCCCTTCCAGTTACATAATTGCTCATTTCTAAGCTCAAGACATTGTAAATATACTAATAAATGCCTCTAAATTAATTTTAAGAAGCTATTATTCACTAGAGATTGTCATTAACAGGTAGCTATAGTTATAATTATTACTATTCCAAGTATCCAATTATTTTATTAAGAGAGAATGAATGATTCGTGCAAACTCTGGAATGAATACTTGAAATTGGCATAGAGTGTGCCTTTCATTTCTTCTCCTTTCCTTTGCCTGCCCTCCAGTGGCAGTGCCGAGTGGTGAACTAATCAGAAGAACAAATCCGAAGGCAGCATTCCACACTGGCCGGCACATTCCTTCAGGTTTCATGGAGCAATTCTGCTAATATTGTTGTATTTCTCTAGGCCTGAAAAGAAGAGGAATTTAGAAGATGATGTCAGTTAGGTATAGCACCTCCTGAAAATTATAGCAACTCAGAGTGAAAATGATTCTTGCACAGTCAACCACTACTTCTTTTCTTTGAAGGCTCAAAGAATACTTAAGAAGCTTCTATAACTATCAAAGACTTCAACATTTTAAATGGAACATCTCTAGAAAGTAACAGAGGAGTGATGTAGCAGGAGCTTTGGAAGGTTCCCAGAGAAACACCAGTGGTACCCAGTTATGAAATTAGGAGAAAACTGAGATTTTTCTCTAAAGATATATCACATTAGAGCTGAAAAATCATATGTAAAGATATGTCATGAACAGAATTGTCAAAAGAGAAAGACTTCTAGTTAAAAATTTGTATCGTAAAAACATTTGAAGAGTGAAGACTTTATTCTTTCAAATGAACAATTTCCACAGTTTATTCTTCTTCTTCTTCTTCTTCTTTATTATCATCATCATCATCATCATTATCATTATCATTATCATTCAAAATGTTATATATTCATTTCTTTAGAGCAGAGGTGTGCAAACTAATGCCTACAGGCCAAATCCGGCGCATCATTCATTTTTGTAAGGTCTGCAGACAAAATCATTTCTAAATTTTTAAATGGTTGAAAAAATCTAAAGAAAAAGAATATTTCATGGCACATTAAAGTTATATGGAATTTGAATATTAATGTGCACAAACACAGCCATGCTCATTCATTTACATATTATTTATGGCTGCTTTTCTGCTAGGAAGGCAGAGTTGAGTAGTTGCAACAGAGATTATATGGCCCACAATGCTTAAAATCTTTACTATATAGCTTTTTATTGAAAAAGTTTGCACAGCCTGGGCTGAGAGCCAAGCTCACTCATTTTATCTTTGTATATCGTCTCAATCAATCATGTGTGATGGGGTCATCTAGTGTCTGAGATAAGAAAACACCATCATAAATGAAGGTAGGGGATGCAGACAGTAGTGGACAGGTTAACACCACTAAGTGAAGATCACAGAATTATGGATCTCTCTTCATAGTGGATCAAAAATGTTATAGACTGTTTGCTAAATACTTGACTCCCCTTAAATATCTTATATCGTTTGTCCTGAAAAAATTAAACTCTTTTGTTTGCAATTCCATTAGACAAAAAAAAAAAAGAACAAGTTATATCATTAGTAAGAAAAACTATTCCTTAGTATAGTGTTTTTATAGGTTACAAAATGTTTTGCATACAGTATATCATTTGTTTTTCATTTTAGGTACACTTTCTATATTATACATTAGAGTGAAATATTTTAGGGGTTCAGTTCATGCTGTATAAGTATGAGAAAAGCAAATATTGACACCTAAAATACTTGTTATCTCTCACACACAGATTTACTTGGAAAAATACAAATTTAAGAATGCAAGAACTTCAGATTTTTGGGGAGCACTTGAAGAGGTAAAGAAGAGTATATCACCAAATATGTTTTTTTGATTAACAAATGATTTATCAATTTTTTAAAATCTGATTATCCTTTTATTTCTCCTTACTCATTAATTAATCTCCATGTTTTTTAAAATCTCAGGCAAGTAATCTACCAGTGAAAGAAGTAATGGACACTTGGACCATACAGATGGGTTATCCTGTACTTAATGTGAAAAATATGAGGAACATCACACAGAAACGGTTTCTGTTAGATTCAAAAGCGAATTCTTCTCAGCCACATTCAGCTCTTGGGTAAGGATCTATATAATGCATTTCAAGAGAAAAGCAAAAATTTGATGGCAATACTGGTCATTTGCTTAGTGCCTACTCTTCAGTATATGACTGATGGGTGATAATACAAAAAAGTGGCATCTTTAGGGAAACAAAAACATCCAAAAATAACTCACTGGTCTCCACGTTCAAAGTGGTAGACTGAGCACATGCATGCAAGTCCTGGTCTTCCCAGAAATTATTGAATAAAGGAATATAAGTGCTAAAAGAAATAAACTCATAAATGCAAAGAAAATAAAGGAAGGGGCTATATGCATTATAAAATTCTAGAAGAAGAAAAGCAGAAGGAGAAATATTGACCCAAAAAACCAAACAAATTGAGGAAGGTGCAGCCAATAGTAGACGTGAAAGCTGACCTTCCCTATCCCTAGACACACTCTGGCCTCATTGTTAGCATGAAGAGTGGAGGGCAAGAGTGAGAAGTGAGGCTGAAAATAGGACAATTAATTTGAAGTCTAGACTCATAACATTGTGCCATTCAGACCTCCCCCTTCACTTTCCTTTCATCTACAGCCATCCTGTCCTCATTACAGAGCTCTCAAAAGTCTGACAAAGACCCAAGGCAAGGGCTGTCTTTTTTTTTTTATTTTTCTTAAAAAAATTGACTTAAACAGTGGAGGAGAGGTAAGGATTTTCCTTTGGTTGGGACACCTAGAAAAAACTTTCTTTATTACTGCATTTGCAGGATGGATGGGTAGAGCTAACAGCTCCCTTTGTGCATGCGCAGAGCTCCGGGTCAGACTTCCTGTTCAAAAATACACCTCCTGTTTCAACAGTAGAGGGATTACATACGAGACACCAAGAATAATCAATTTAGTTCTTTTTAAAATATGAATGGACAACTAAGGAACACAAAACACATGAAAAAAATCTAAAAGCATAAAAGGTAAAATCCCATAAGAACAAAAAAAATACCTGTCTCTATGAGAAACATAATTGAGGAAATAGAAAATAAATTTATGAACTATATTCAGAGATCAAAGAAGATATTATGCCCGTTAATTAAGAGTGGAATATCTTTAAAAGAAAAAACTGAGAACACAGAAGATCTCTGGAAAGTTAAATTTTTGGTTGCAAAAATTTAATAGAGCAACTAGAAATAAATTTGGGGCATTCTCTAAAACTACAAGGCAGACACACATAGAACTGGCAAATATGAAAGAGAAGACAAATATAGAAAGTATAGCAGCCAACTAATAGAAGTCTCGTGATAAAGAAAACAGAGAAACTTGAGGGGCAAAGTATATCAAAGAAATAATTAGACATAAGGATTCCAATGCAAAGGTCTCATTGAATACACAGTACAAAAGGGAAAAACAGAAAACATCTAGCTACATCCTCATGAAATTTCAGAAAACAAGAATACATGAGTTAGTGTGACTTTAGTATTCTCCACAGCAGCCAAATGCAAAATGAATGAATGAATGAATGAATGAATGAACGAATAGATAAATAGATAAATAAATCGTGAAACTATTTAAAAGGTTGAAGCAAAAAAATATTTTCAACCTCTCAGTCTCTACCCCGTGAAACTAAATCAAATATGAAAGCACAGAAAAGACATTTTCAGACATGCAGTGTCAGCAAATGCTTTCCACATAGTACTTCTTAGAAAGTTACTAAGCTACACTCCAAGGAGATTGGAGGAGGGGGAGAAAAAAATATAAATAAATCAAAAAAAGAGGAAGAGATGGAATCCAGGGAACAGTGCATCCAACCTAGGAAAGCCATGAAAGGAAATGCGGGCTGACAGCAACCCAGTGGGCTCATGGTGCTGTGAGTAAGAGCAGATGACTGGGCGATCTCCAGGAAAAACAGTGATTGAGAGGATGGGAAAACTTGAGAACGTGGTGAAGGCCCATCAGTTTGATCAACTATAAAGAATGAAATTAGAAAAACCAAGATAAAAAGCTTTATGTAAAAATTATGATTCAAAAATATGATGCGGGTAGAATGATTTTATGCCATTGATAAAGTATAAGAAAAAAGATTCCATTTGATCCTTACGTTAGAGTTTTGGGGAGGAGGGATTTTATTTAAGTGACCCGGGGGGCATGAAATCAGTTTGTAGAGGAAGGAAATATAACTCCAACACACTTCTTGGCCAGCATTCTGTATATAGTATAATTTCATAACTGTTATTTATTGGCTTTTAACTTTTATAACTGACTTATGGATAACGAATACTTTCATATGGTGGCAAAGATCGTAAATATAAGCAGTCAACATTGTAACAAGAGAAAAATAGCTGACAGAAGAAAGGAGCTGGAAGAAGGAGAAAATGTGGAAGAAGTGCTGGAATACTAATTCAGTTGTGTGCTGGAACTAGCTCTAATCCTAACTCAGTGACATCATGGTGGTAGTTTTAAACTGGTCATGATGTGAGTTAATAGAAATCAGCAAATACTACATCCCTCCAGCCCAAAGCTGGTTAATTATCAACACTCCACAGGATATCCTCTTTTTACATTAGGAGAGAGTAGCAATACTAGCATTTATGGAACAAAAATAGCAGTATGAGTATATTATTTAAAGGAAAATTGTAACCTATAGAAAGTCTAATAATAATTTTACTTTATTAAATTTTGGCTGTTAGAAGAGGAATGGACCAGACAGTAGTATAAGTAACTAAATCATGCTCTCTCATCGATGAGTTAATAAATACTATCTTAAAAAAATAGAGGTATTTAGAGTTACAGGTCTAGACACCAAAATAACTAAAATCAGGAGCATTTAAAAGGAGATACTTCTGAGAAGTGCTGGCCTATGAGAAGGGTAGAGAAGGAAACTGGCTTTCCAACAGAAGTTTTTCTAGTTTTTGATTAAGGATGTTTTTATTTACTAATTACATAAATGAAATTCTCCTAAGCATTTATACAGCTATTACAAATCCAATCAATTAAATCCTCTTGCATATGTCATTTACAAGAAACTTTTGAACATCACTACTTAAGATTTTATTAAATTTCATTTGTAATTTCAAAATACAACATCTAGTTACGGATTTATAAATCTATTTAAAAAAATTTCCTATATATTTTTATGAATCTAACCAATGAAAATTCATAAATATAGTATGTCAAATTTCTTGGGCATTTTTAAGATATTAAGAATCAAACTAAAACTCAGACTCTTCTAGACATTCAAAGATGACTACTGAATTAAGATATTCTAATAATTTTAGTTAAAATTACAAATCAAATATGTCATTTTCTATAATTTGCCAGATTTTTAAAACATTTCAAATGTTGTAAAAGCTAACAAAATATGTGTAAAACAGCAGATGATTTAGAAACTTATTACACTTGTATAAATGCAACTTGTACGAAAGTCTTAATACTATATCTATTTCTGTATAACTAAATGGTCATTTTTATATATGTTTCTGAAATGATAACATCTCCCAACTGAAGAAAACAAAATTAGGATCTCAGGTCCTTCAGCCCCTGGGTGTACCCCTTTGGAGTTAGCACCCCAACCCCCATTACCCAGCTGAGCCCTCTCCTAGACTGGATCCTGGCTACATGGGATCAATACTGAGTGGTGCTTGTCCCCTGGATATCATTCTAATTTCACTCATGCTAATTTTTATTATCACTTCTTTCAATTTCTTAACACAGTTGGGGTAGAGAATTTTGTACCAACCCCAACTCCGGGTGGCCTCTAGTCATCACTGCTTGATTTCCACTGAGAAGACCCTTCACCCTGTTTATCTATTTGTTAATAATCTTGTTGACCTTATTTTACAGTCACGTATATAAATCATCACAGATCAATTATTCAGAGGCAATTAGGATAACATGAGGAAGGAGAATTATAGGGTGTGAAGAAGATGTTTCAGAAAGTGTTTCATTTAATAACCGTAATCTGTTTTCTTTATAGTTAGTTACTGTTTTATGTTCTAGCAAATTAGATTGGACAAATTTAATACTGCTGGAGCTTTTAGATATTAAAATTTATAAGTATTTCTCTCTTGCGAAACAAGCTTCCATTTGGAAGTTTCACAGTAATTATTCTCTCCTGTTATATGTGTCCACTGATAGGCTGAGCCTTAATTAATGGGTAGGTCAGGAGATGTGGTGGGACTACAGAGGACTTTCCTGAAGAAGCGATATTTAAGCTGAGTCAATTGGTGTAGGGGGATGACTGTCAAGGATGTTCAAAACAGAAACCACAACGTGTATGAAGGCTCCAGAGTTTAAAAGAGCGTTATACGGATAATGTGCAACACTCATTGAGCATTTACTAAGTAGCTGGCTCTATTTAAAGCACTTTAGAGTGTTTTATTATTACAGATGGGGAAATGTCTATTGAGAAGCTACAAAGGATCGCTTTTAGGTTATCTTCCTTAAAAGCCGATCCTGAGGTGATTATTCAAGTAAAAGTGATTCATTAAGAAGTGTTTCTAGGAAAAACTGGTAGGAGATTGGGAAGTAGGGAAATCGAGCGGCAAAGGTGTAATATCAAGCAGGTCCTGCAGAAGACAGTGTCTAGAGACTATCTATCCTTCAGAGTGGTCCTGACAGATGAGGTGAGGGATTCTCGTGCTCATCCATCACTGGCTAAGGGCAGCATACAAGAATGCAAATTGCCAGGGATTTTTGGCTTTCCTTGCTCAGGAGCCAAAGGGCTGTCCTTTGATAGAGAGACCTAAGTGTTGGCAGGGAAAGAACAATGGAATTTGGCTGGAGGTGGGGTACAAAAATGACAGAGACTCAAGGGGATGAGGATGGAGCACTGAAAATGTCTGCTACAGGACCCAAGAAACAATAATGTATTGATTCTATAAAACTTAGAGCCAAATAAGTTTCACTGCAATAATATCCTCCAAGAGAGCTAGTAAAAGCTCAATCCTAGCATTTCAATAGTTATAAAACAAAAGATTACTTCTTTCATGTAGATGACAAAATATATTCTCCCTGAGTTATATAAATTATATTATATCTTGAAAGCAGGAAATATTCTCTCATTCTCTATTAGAGACTTGAACAATCATAGATGAAGGAAAAAAAAAAGCCAACATTTTGTTGAAACCCAACCCTCAAAACTGATTCTTCTTTCTAGATCTCCTGTATTTTCTGACTGATAGGAGATGATATAAAAACAATCAAAAAGTCATTTAAAACCCCTTTCATGAGATTTTAAGGCTAAAATGTTAAATATATATTGTATCAAAATGTAATAAAACCAATCTCCCCTTGCTCCTCAAAAAAATACTAAGCAGCTAAAGAAAATGGTAAAAACCTCTGAAACATGTTTGCTGGATAATATTTCCTTTGCAGCTCACCAGTTCACATGATTCTAAATAGGAGATATTTAAAGAGCATGGGAAACTTTAAGAGATGATGGTGGTGGTATAATTTCAATATTGTTCCTAAAATGTGTTATATCCTTTATAGCATTTTAAGATTGTCTTCTAAATTCCGAGACTGCTTTGTGTCACTTGATAGAAACTATAGCATATTAGGGTATGTGCAAGTAGGTGCGTGAATACTCAATGTTATATAATGTGTTAGATTTATGCAATATCTTTGTTCCAAAGCCTCGAGGCATTTTTTTTAAATAATCTTTATCCTCAGCTAATTTTTTGATACAAAGTTCCAAATTATAAAGAGGTATAGAAATTGAAAGCAGTTACAGGGCTTATCTTCATTACTGAAGAGTGTTGTATTAACTGTATTAATTGTGTACTGTACACTGGATGATCACTTATGAAGGAATATGATTGTCTGTTGGCTTTTAATTATTTTTACTTTGCATATGGTTTTATTTTTTAGTAATAAAAGTTAAATTTTTCTTTAAAAAAAAATTTAGTTACACATGGAATATTCCAGTTAAATGGTGAAGGTGGGAGATCAGGATCCTTCCTCACTAATACTTCTCTGGCTGGGAGGAGTCCATTGTTACTGCTTCCCACATCACCTCCACTGATACCGTGGTGGGCAGGGTTGCCTTGTTACACGAGGAGGTGTAGATTTTCACTTGGTTTTTGCAAATCAGGGTGATATTTTTGTGTATTTGGCTGGAGTGGAGTAGTTAGTTATAGTTAGTTATTGCTTAAAAGTTTTGTCTCATTAAGCTATCAATTTCCTGGTCCTTGGCTAGATTAGACTTTTCTTGCGGTTTTTGTCTGTGCCCAACATTTCTGGGTTGCCAGCTTCTCCACACTCATTCTAGAATATATAAGGCAATAAGAAAACGCAGGATTTTTGCCATCATGTTATTTGGGGTCCTAAGCCAGTCTACCTTCTTCTCTCCACTTTTCAGAGTCTTATGTTTGTTTTATATATAAGGTTGCCTTCCTTCCTTCCTTCCTTCCTTCCTTCCTTCTTTCCTTTAAATTAAATTAAAAGGAAAAAGCCATTGAATTTCTTAAACTGTTATGTGACAAGTCTGATTTTTAAAATGCTATCATTACAGTAGACCTATTATTTTCCCAAATCATCATATTAGAATCTTTAAGTACTCCAAATTATCTTTTCTAATTTGTAAGTTGTCACCAATAGCTCAAGGCACTATCTGTATCTGTATCCACCTATCTCCTTAAATGAATTACTTGGCACTTGCCTATGTTAAATTCATCTGTGACTGTTCTGTTCACTTAAATTGATTTGAAATGTATTACTGTATTCTGTCTTCATTGATTTGTCTTTTTATTTCTTGAAAAATTTTAGTTGTATAAAAAACAAGGAGAACTTGTCACATGTTCTCTCCTAAAATCACTCAAAAATAATAAATAAGCTATGTTTAGCACCCATTCCAGAAGAATTCCACTTTTTATACTTTTACCATTGTACTTGTTTTGTGTTTCAAAGCCATTTTTATCTAAGACAAACGAGACTCTTCTTCACTCCATCTCATAAGGACTTGTTTTCAGAAGAGCATTTGGCATGAACTTTCACCTGTGGCTTCTTAAGAGTAAAAGTCCTTTATTTACATATGCCTATTTGCTCCTGCAAAACGTTCTAAAGTATTAATTAGTAATATTACCCTGGCAAGTAAATTTTTACCCTATTTCCAGTAGATTATTTTTAAAACAGCTTTATTGAGGTTTGATTCACATGCTGTGCAATTCGCCCATTTAAAGTGTATAGTCCAATGGCTCTTATAATATTCAGATATGTGTAACCATCACCACAGTCAACTTTAGAGAATTTTAATCACCTCAAAAAGAAACTTCATACCCTTTAGCTGTTAACCTGTTCTGGACATTTCATATAAAACATTATACTAAGTGACGTTTCGAGCTATTCCTATTCTGGATGTCACTTAGCATAATGTTTTTAAGGTGCATCCATTTCTATAGCATGTGTCAATATTTCATTCCTTTTTATTGCCAAATTCTTTTCATATCATATTGATATAATACATTTTGTTTATCTATTTATCCGTTGATGGGCATTTGGTTAGTTTCTACCTTTTGGCTTTTATGAATAATGCTGCTACAAATATTTGTGTACAAGGTTTTGTGTGGATCCAGGATGTTTTTTTCACTTTTGGAGTTTTAAAATTTCATTATAAACTTTTGTGATTTTTTTACTTTTACTGTAATCTCTACCACCTTTGTTATTGTCAAGGTAAGACCCCTTTCTGTTGCTTTTACAAAACTTTCTCTTGGTCATTTATGCTAACAATTACTTTTAATTGTTGTGTTCAGCTATCTCCTGAATTCTTCCAGAATTCTCAGATCAATGTCATTTTGTCTTGTTATTTTATGTGATCATGTTGTGTTTGAATACAAAGCTCTATCTATTCCAATCTGTCTTCTGAGCATTTTCTTACTCATAAACACATTTGCTAAAGGAAAATGGAGAAGGCAGAAAAAAAAAATACACCTTTAAGAAAATGTAACAGCACTGATAAACTGGGAGATTTTCAGTGAGTTTGGCTTAACTATTATCACATATTTTACCCGTTAGTCACCATTGGTTAATTGAAGGTTGTAGGAAGCTGCCTGATTTGCTGTTTATAAATTTAAAAACATGAATAATTCATCTACACTAACACAATTTGCCCAGCATTTTTATGTAATGAGTTTTCCATAAGTGAATTTTCCAGATAACTGAGGTTTAAGTGCTTTATAAAATAAATTTCAAGAGTTAACAACATTTTTCTTACCTGTATCATGTAGATATTAGACAGAATATTTGAATAATGAATTTAATCCTTAATTAATTAAATAATTAGCTAGCTTTTCGGGTAAGTGTTTATTGAGAACTAACTTATGCACCAGACACCAAGGTAGGCATGGACACAATGGTGAGGGGGGAAAAGCACAATCCTTACCCCGTGGATTACTGTCCAGAGAGCGTATAGACGGTCAGCAGGCAATTTTAATACTGTGTCATAAGTGCTTCGTGTGGTAATAGCCAAGGGTGCTCATTGGAGAAGCGCTGGCTCAGATTTGAGGGTTCAGGAAAGATTATAAAAAGAAATCTAAGCTTGGAGTTAAGAGGGCTAAAAGCAGAGTTAGTAATTTCATCAGTTAGAAATTTCCCAGGTACTGGTGGCACTTCCCCCTGGAATGTAATATCTTTTATTTACATTTGTTCTGTACATAATATTTTAAATTAAATAAGTGATTAGCTTGACAGAGAGTAGACAGGAATTGTGCTCTGGATGGAAAATAGTAGCATGTGAGCGCGAGAGCTCGGGGCTCTCCCAGTACCTCTCTGTCGTTATGGTTAACACTTTTTTCCCCCTCTATAATTCTTGACTTACCTGTCTCTCCCCTCCCCAGAGAATATTCCTTGAGAAAATGGAGCTTATTTTGTTGTTGTTGTGGTTGTCCTATATCTCCTGCAGGTACCTAGTAATTGTTTATTGAATGAATGAATGAGCTCTAATGTCCACAGAGCTTTGATGACAAACCTATTTTTATCTGAAACTTCAGAATCATGACTGGTCACTTAGCCAAAAGCAAACTAGACATCCCTTTCTACTTCAAAGTGCCTGCTCCATTCTTAGGCTATGCGCTAAGTTCCCGTTTCCTGTTTGGGAACATCTTCAACTCTCAGCTCAGAGCACAGATGACATCAAGTCCTGAGTGTACTGAATGAGCGATCAGCTCAGGTTACCAGCCTTACCTCCCTCTGCTTGGTTTCTTTAATGATTCATCAGTTAGAAATTTCCCAGGCACTGCTGGGACTTCACCCCTGGGTCTTTTATTTACATTTGCTCTGTACATAATATTTTACACATTAAAAAAAAAATTAAACACATAATTTATAATGAAAGAAAAAGATCTTTATCACTGGCTATTCTAACCTGCCCTAAGAAATTTCTTCTCTTGCCATCTATAGTATATTTTATACTGTCAGTTTTATTTATTATTACTTTATATTTTAAACAGTATCATTGTTAAAGCTTAATTTATTGTCTTTTTTTTTTTAAGTACATTATAAGCTCCTTGAAGATAGAAACTACACATCACAGTTTTTGTCCACTGCCTACCCTATTCCCAACAAGGCGCTGTGCACATCCTAAGACTTACTAAGAGTTTAGTAAGTCATTGCATAGTTAAGGCTTATTTGCCCCCACCTGCTGTGTTTTTAGAGGTTACCTGTGTATACTTTAATTATGCCTCTACCTTTAGTATCAGCTGCCATTTTGGCTGTTGACAGTGCATCTACGTTTAGTAGTATACCACCTTTTTGGTTTTAATCTGCCGCTTTCTAACATTTAGAAGAATTGAAGCTTATCACATGATATTGAATAACTAATCTTGCTAAAATATAATATATTAAAATATACATTCCCAAACACATAGGATCTAGGACATAAGAAAGGGTATAGACTTTGTGATGACTGTCTTCCTAATGCTTTCAGATTTCAGGATCCGTTCTAGATGGTTTAGAAAGCCAAATTCTGACTACCACTAAAATTTGATAGCATATTTAAATATCTCATATCAAAATAATGATGGAGATCTATTTGTAAATTTAATAACAGAGAGAGAGACTTCATTCTTTCAAGCTGAGTCTCATGGAATGTTTGAATTTTGATTGAATCATTATGAATTCAGTTTTGCAGGCTTAGAAGCTCAGTTTCATTCATTCAGCCCTGGCCAACCAAGTCTTGGAAGATTTACTCACATAAACCAAACATATGAGAATGTTAATTTGTTAATTTACACAAAGAAAAATATACTGGCCAAGGTGAACCAGGATGCTCATGTCAGCTAATTAGGTTATCTGTTTCCAGGAAGAAAAATTACTTAATTAGAATAAAGAGAGAGTTAAGGTAGATAGATTTTTTTCAGAGATGTCATCAAGCTGGGATAGCCTTATATATCGCATTAACTGGGAGTCTGTTGCATTTAGAGGTTATCAGTAGTGTCTCCATGCAATGAAAATTTCTTGTTCATGCAACAATGGAAGTGTTCTTGACCTGCCATCTCTCCTAGGGGGTTCTTTCCCAAATAATTACTTGGAAATTCTGCCTTCTTTACTTTTTGAGGTATACTACCCCCCAAATCTTGGACTCCCCTTTCTGGATCTTTTGCATCTGGACGGAAAACAGAGGAAGATAATGGAGAGACCAAGCTAGAAGACCATTTATTACTTTTGCCCACATTTATGCCGCTTTTCAATCATATATTGCCACCTAACTACAAGGGAAGTTAATAAATAACAGTATAGCTGTGTACCCAGGAGGAAAAGGGAATAGTGTGGTAAAGAACTAACAGGTCTCTGCTACATACATTGTTCTCTATAAGAGCTGATCTCTTAAAAGATCTGGAACATACTTGGGCTCCTGTTTCCTTGGGAAGACCGGAGACACATTGACAGGTCTTTACCCTCCAAATCTCCTTCGCAATTATTTCTTCCCAATCATCGAAACCACTGCCAATGATAATCTTTCATCATGGTAGTCAGGTTGCATTTTTTCAGATTCCTGTTTATTATATATTACATATTAATACTGCACTTTTTTTTCCTGAGAGATCCTCCAGGCCACGTGCCAAGTTTTAGGTGATATACAATCATTAATACTTTCTTGAATAAATAATTTGTTGAGAACGTTACCACAAATGGATAACCAATCCATTTTATATGTTTCACATTAGTCTTAGTTTCAGAGATTGAAATTTTCTTCCTTGACCCCAAATCCTGACAGTGCATCCTACTTGAAGTTTTTAGCTCTGCAAGTGTAATTTGTGACATTAGTAAAAAGTACCAGCTCTTGTATCTTTCAGCTTTTTACTATTAATACACAAAATTTAGCAAGATAGAAGCTGTCATTTCACACTGAAAAATAATTCACATAAGGATTAATGCAATACAGCATTTTTATCACCAAAGAAAATGTTTCCTGCCCTAGGAATCTCAGGCTATCAGAAGCTGATTCGTTGTCTAAAGTTTATTATAATTATTTATGTAAAATAGTACATTAGAGAACTCTTATGTGTGCTCTGTTATTGAAATCTATTTGGGTTGAAATTAAATAGCCTGTGGATAAAATTTTGAAAAGGTAATTATCTGTCTTCCCTATCATCAAGAAAAATAATAAAAGAAAAAAATAACAATTTTCTAGAAAGAGCACTTACTCAGAAATAATTCATTCAATACTTTGTCCATAAAATTAGCAAGAAACAAAACAAAGCAATTTATAAATTGAGTGATAGAGTATTATGTGACCATGAAATTTACATTTTCATATATAAAAGAAAATTATAAGATGTTTATAATATTTCAGAATGAAAAAGATTACTAATCATAAAATCAGTGTTTTCATTATGTGTATTATGTGTTTGTGAGTGTGAATATATTGAAAGATACACAAAAGATAAAAATGTTACTTCTATTCTCTATCTGGAATAGGCATCAAGGTTTTAGTCCTACTTACTTCATTATGTAACCAAACAACCCAACAGTATTTTTGCAGTTGACAACTGTTCTGAAAGAAGCATGAACTTGGAAAGTCTCTAACAATTAATTTCCTGGATCTCAACTTCCTCATCTATAAAGTGAGAAAAATCACAGTAACTCTAGACAGGCTTAACTAGGTATATATAAAGCACACTAAAATACTTCAGTATTTAGATGGATTGCCAGGAACTTCTCAACGTTATTTATATTTGCTTCACTATTTATAGAACTGGCGGCCTATTCCCTTTCATAATAATGGAGATAGCTTCCATCTGTTGGAAACATAACTATATGACCAACACTTTATCTATATTATTTAATTACCTAAAAATCCCTTCACAATAGCCCCGTGAGGGATTTTTGTCCCTATTTCCCTTTAGTTGAACCGGGACACAGAGAGGTCAAGTGATTTGGCCAAGATCAAACAGCTAGTAAGTCACAGAGCGAGGATTTTTATCCTAGATCTGTCAGATTTGAACGTTCGTGCTCTTTTCCTATAACACATGGCTCTGTGTGTAGCCAGAGGCTCTCCTCCTGATACAAACATTCAAAGTGTACATTTGCCAAAAGATTAGCTTCCTTTTAACAACTTGTCCATGGGAGAATGACGAAGAAAGATAAATACTACGTGAGTGAGGTAAAGGTTTATAATTTGTCAAGTACCTCCTCTGAATGGTCCTAAAAAAACAGATGGTCTTGTTGAAGAACGTACAAATATATTATAAAAAACTACTGTGTCCTGAATATCTTACAAACCTTGCAAACACTTCCAAAATTTAAATCATCTTTTTTTCCCATACTGACTCATTTCCCTCTCTTCTTGAGGTGGCAACACTATTATTCATTTAGTCGTGCAAGCCATTTTCCCTTTCTTTAACTGTCCACATCAAGTCAGAAAAAGAATTGTGTTGATTTTACCTGTGATGTGTCTCTCAAATACATCATCTCCTTTGTATTTTCATCATCTCCACCTTAATGTAAGCCCTCAGTTTCTCTTGCCCTAGGTTATTGCAGTGAACTCTAGACTCTCCTTCCAATACGTCTCCCACATCACTATCAAAATTATCTTTCTAGAAAACAGACTTTAACATGTTTTTTCCCTACTTAAAAATCTTCTCCATCTTACCATCCTCAGCAGATGGATTCTTTAACACGGTATGTGGCTCTTCACATTGAAGCCCCAGCCCTTATTTCCAACCTCATCTCTTGTTTTCCAATATCATATCCTACACTGTCACTATATTAAACTATTTGCAATTTCTCAAATATAATAAGTATTTCCACACCTTTATTTATTTAAATTTATTTAAATTGTCCATGCAAACAAAATAATATATAAATTAAAATGTATAAAAGTCATCCTAATAAATCTGGTCATGTCAGAGCACAGGTATTATTTTAAGGGTTTTTTTTGTTTGTTTTCTTTTACCTAAAACCTGTCTCTGTTCCTTCAATGTTGAGCTTATAAAATCTATTTACTAGAGCCTTATATAAATAGTGGATGCTACTTTAGAAAGAAATTTCACTTGGTAAATGTAGTGATGGAAAAGCATTGATGCAATCAATTGAAATAAGGAAGTAGGAGACTTTATGATGATAAATAAAATTGGAAGAGCAAGTATGAAAGAGATTATAAAATCAAGAATGTCATGTTTGGATTTCAGCTCTATTGCAAGTCTTCTTGACATTTTTAAAGTGTTACTGATTCTCAAATCATTATTCTACTTAGCAATAGCCATTTCCATCGATTTGAATGTTGATTTAATAAACAAAGTATTCTTTTAAATGTTTACACTTTTGCCTCCCCGCCAGGCTGCCTCAGCAAATATTTTTTGTGTAATGAATCCGTCATGATCAGGAATACATGAACTTCCCCCAGAAGGCATGGACTGCACTATTTTTAGGCATTGTTTTCTTTTTCTGAAGGATTGATAAGCACAAAATTACTTAACCATTTGGCAAGCTTTGGCCAGTAAGAAATATAAGTCACAAATTATAGGATTCTTATTTACATGACATTTCTTTTTCAGCTTATATACTATAGCGATATTCCAAGTTGGGCAACTAAATAAGAATTAGGCTTTGGGGGTTTGGATCCAAATCAAACTTGACTCTTTGAGCTAATATTTCTTTTCTTTTTACTCTCTTGGTCTAATTTTTCTGTGTTTACAGCATATGCAAATATGTTTCTTATCGGTTTTTATTTACTACTACAGGAATCACTTTGAACTCTTCTAATCCTGATGGAGATGTTTTTCTCACAATAAACTCAGATCACATTGGGTTTTATCGTGTAAATTATGAAGAAACAACTTGGGACCAGATAGCTTTCAGACTTTCCTCTGATCACAAGGTAAGAGTAGCAATAATTGTGAATTATTTTATTTTTGTTCTAAGAACAGCATCTTAATGACATTATTTTTTCCTTTAATAATCATGTTTTGCATTAATAATCACATTTGCTACCTCTTTTTCTTCCTCTTCCCAGGCATTTTCATCTGCTGATCGGGCAAGTCTTATTGATGATGCCTTTGCCTTGGCAAGGTGGGTTTTGGAACGAGATAGAGCATTTAAACTACTGTGGATTTAGTCATAAATTCTAAATGAATTACGACAAAATTTAAGAATTAATTCATTTTAGTTTAAAATATTCAAAGCCCCTGTTTATAACATTGTTTTCTTTAACTCTTTTTTTTAAAGCTCATATGAACCTTATAGCCAAAGTACTGACTTTAGCTTTTAAACGTACACACAAAAATTCACCTACCCTATTGACGTTGATTATGGTTTGTCTGTGTCAGAGTCCTTGAGCTAATTGGTGACATTTACAAATGTTTAAACATTCACCTTCATAATTTTAATTTAATAAAAAGACAATGTGTTCCGTGAACTCAGTTCTGTGAGCTGAAGCCCATTATAAGACTTTTATGGCTAGAGTCATCAAATCTTTAGATCATTGGGGTAAGAAGAATGAAACATGGTGCTCTAGGATTGATCAGAAATAAGATATTACTTAAGAAACTTGGCTATTTTTTTTTTCATGGCCCGAAGGTAACCCAAACTTAAAAAGATAATAATTAACACATATTGGGGGACATAGAAGAGTAGTAACCATAGGTATTTTTTTTTTCAGGTAGTCTAACATCAGTAATTCAACAGGTATTAAGTTTCTGGCACTTTTGTAGGAGCTAGGGACACAGCAGACTTGGTTCGCTGGCTGTGTAGTGGCCTTATCATAGATATAAACAATGTACCAAGAATGAGACAATGTACCTCCAGTGGCTCCTCATCTGGGTCGATATCCCTTTTATGGGACCCTATATTTCCCCACGATATTACATTGCCATTGTTTACTAACTGTTCAGCTCACCCACCAAACTGTAAGTTTCATGAGAATAGGCACCCAGATTGTGGTCCTATTCATTTTATCCCCAGCTCCTGACTGTGCCTGGCCCATAGTAGGAGATGCTCATTAAATATGGGCTGGAAGGATAGCATAATAGCACTGATGCCATGGGAGAACTGTTTTATGCAGACTTCCTAGGTAGACTACTGAAAGTCAGAAAATCTTCTTGACACTTTTTAAGGAGAGAATTTATAGGGTTAAAAAACAAGTTCTCAAACCAGATTAAATTCTGGCTCTGTATAAACTTTAGTAAGATTTTTAACCTCTCTCTGGGTCAATTTCCTTATTAGTAAAATGGAGATGACTTCATAAGACTCTTGAGGAATAAATGAGCTAATGCACATAAAACACCCAAAACATTGTCTGGCCTATAATATGTGCTCAATAAATTGTATTACGTGACAAAAATGCATCCACTATTGATTAGAGCAACAAAGAAGCATTTAGAAAACCTCTTCTGAATTTGTAATCTAGATTCTCTTTATAGGTAATAAACAACATGATTCACTTTAGGGAATCTCCAAGTTTAATTCCCTGGATATATAACAGATTAATTATAATGTTTCCCCTTATTTGTGGTTTTGCTTTCTGCAGTTTCAGTTACCTGAAGTCACCTGCAGTCTGAAAATATTAGGTGAAAAATTCCAGAAATAAACAATTATTCATAAGTTTGAAATCGCTATTCTGAGTAGCATGATGAAATCTTGCACCATCTCACTTCATCCTGCTCAGGGAGTGAATTATCCCTTTGTCTAGCATCTCCACACTATATGTGCTACCTGCTCATTAGTCACTGAGTAGCCATCTCAGTTAACAGATCAACTGTCGCAGTATCACAGTGCTTGTGTTCAAGTAACCCTTATTTCACTTAATAATGCCACATTCACATAACATTTATTACAGTATATTATTACAATTGTTCTATTTTATTATTAGTTATTATTGTTAATATCTTATTGTGTCTAAGTTAGAAATTAAATTTTATCACAAGTATGTATGTGTAGGAAAAAACATATTATATTTCGGGTTAGGTACTATCCACAGTTTCAGGCATCTGCTGAGGGTCTTGGAATGTATCCCTTGTGGATAAGGGGCAACTACTGTATTTTCCTTATGTAACAGTATGTTAGTCACTCATTTAATAAATATTGATTGAGCACCTACTCTGTACCAGGCACTGTATAAACTTGGGAAATTAAGTGGTGAAAGAAGATGATCAATATTTTAAAACATAATAAAACCACTTAGAATTTTTCTCGGGAAAAACTCTCCTGCGAGTGCATAACGACCTTTTCCAAAGCTTAGTATCTTGGCTGTTAAAAATGACACAGAACTGTAATATCTTTATAGCTTAATTCCCATCACAACACAATGCACAGTTCTTTTTGCTTGGAGAAGTTAAAAAAAGCTTCTTGAACATTTCTCTCTGAGGAACTGTGTATAAAGCAAATAACTCTCACAAGTGAGACTTTCTCGCATTTGCTCAGCTCCTTGGCCATAGCCCCATAAAATTTTGAAGAGCTGCAGAAAGAAAGAGAAACAAATTGAAAAACCAAAAAATAAGTAGAATCACACAACAATCAATCTGGAAAATACCTGAGATATGACCCGAGATATTTCCTTCTGCAACAACATGAGAAAAATGGGACTCAGAGAGGAACAAACTCCACCAGTGTTGGTTAGAGACGAGACTAGATCACTCTAAAACTTTAGGGGGAAAAAAAGAAAATATGTGTAGCTAAATAAGTGCCTGTGGTCAGAGCAGGATTTACACAGTTCTACTCAGGTGTTCAAATAGAAAGGTAACTATCGTGTTTCATAAGAAGGACTAAACAGGCCCATCTAAAAATAAATGTATTTTTAATTCTCCTGTCCCCAATTTGAGGAGCTAGTACTCTTACTGCCCTGGATGGAATGTCCAGTTGGACATATTTTGTTAACATAAGGAGTAAAAATACACCCAGTCCCCCAAACAGGCTTAGTTCAATGATATGCCCAGCTCAGTGAAACTATAAAAGTTTTCAACTTTATTTAAAGTTTCTCCCAGCCCCCGACTCGGGCCAGCTTCAGGCCGGCCACCTGCAGTGGGAATGTGCTTGATTTCTTCTCTGTTCCGTGCTACTTCTCACTTATTATGCTGCCTCCGGTTCCTCCAGCCTTAAAGCAAGGAGAGCAAGTGAAGGCAGGAAAGATCCTGACATTTTGTCCACTTTGGGTCCTCTCTGAACCTTGTAGATGTTTAACACTGACTCTTTTCCTTGTGTGGTGTTTTCATGGTTATTTTCCCACTCACACTTATTCCATGGCCAAGGGTGATTCTCCTGCAGTTCCCTTGAGGGGCAAGCAAACTCCTCTGACCCACTTCTGGTCCATAGCAAGTATCCATGTATCCTCTTTCCCAACAACGTCTGGAAAGGCAGGCCACCCCAGGCAGTCTCATCTCTTCACTCTGAGGTCAGAGCTCTAGCCAACCACGGACTCTCATCCTTTAGATTTCTCAAGGTATCAGACACCAGACAACAATGCCTACAAGCTCCAGGATACTCAGGTAAAATTCTTCAAGTTGTCCCATTAAAAGCCTCTCGCCTAGGTTTGATGCGAGGGGAAAAGCCCTCACGGTACACTGACAGCACTTCCAAAAGCCCTCTTCTAAAATGTCCATCTTTCCCACTTAACTGTTCTAGCATCTTTATTAGGATGGTGGTGGGTTATCCGCTAAGCGTCCCAAAACCTGTCCTTGACCACTTTAGCCTTGATTTGGTGGGCCTGCATCTTACTGTGGAGTGTAGGCCAAGGAGCTTTTCTGCCTTGCCAAAACAGAGACAGAAAGAATCATTTGTTGCACACCTATAACAGTTGGTTTTGTCCTTTTCAGTAGCTAACACTATGCTCTGCAGCCCACTATGCGCTAAAGCCAGGATTGGGGTGAAGAATAACATAAGGGAAAGCAGAGAGTACTGGCTAACAAGTCCATGGGTGGGAGCAGAAGTCCCTGGGTGAACGAAGAATGTTACAGAGGATAGCTTAAAAGACCACCTAAGCTAAAAATACGAACAGGATTCCAGCCAGGTTTCAGGGATCAGTGGCTCCAACGATATCCAAGGTAAGGGCCAGGTTAGCAAATAAAGACTACCAGGTGAACATCAGCCATGCCAAGATTGCAGCTCTCTAGGTACACCAGTTTTACCTCTTTATAGGTGTTTGCAGAGGTGACCAGAGGATAACACAGGACTGGATAAGCAACTTTCCCACCTCCTTGTGGACAGCCTTTTAAAAGAAGGAAGAAGTAGGAGAATGGGGAAAGATCAAAAGGGATCTAGTTGATTGCAAAGACACTTTTTAGGCCAAAAATCTGAACTTAATTGACAAATTAACTTTGAGAGACCAGATATATGAGGACTTTCCAAAACTCTCGACACCACCTGAAGGCTTTGCTGAACATGAGCGTGTGGAGTCAGTTCCATCCATGTAGGTGTCTCTTTTAACTGTTCCACTGTCCCATTCAGGAGCCATGTTAATAAGACACTGTACTTAACTGGGGCTTCTCCGAGAAGGACTGAGCCATTTTTCTGTGTCAAGCACAAGGAAGCAAAAAGAAATTTTTTGTTACTAGATTTCCCAAACTTTCTGCATGCCTCAACCCAAGATAGGAGAGCAAGAATTCCCTCATAGGACCTCTTTTTCCTCTTCATTGAATTTGGTGGGAACTTTCTTTAAATTTTAGCCCTCGTTCTCTCTGCAGTATGAATAATAGGAAAATTCTATGGTTTAAGTCTTTCAGCCTAGGTTCTCACTATATAAATGAAAGATTTTTGAATAAATAAAGTTTCAAATGTCAACACAATATTCTAAATTTTTTTTTTTACTTAACAAACATACTCAATAAAACACTTCATTTCTCAATATTATTTATACTTTTATTAAGGAAGGCTGGATGCTCCAACATATAAATCCTTCTAAATTGATCAGGAACTGAGAAAAAGGAAAAATCAGCTCTCTGAACTGAAAAGAAAACTTTGTATCATATCTCATTCGTAAAAATCATATAATGTCAAAAAATTTTATTCTTATTTATCTCTCCAATACTAGTTCATCCTCTAATGAAACTCTTAGGGGAGAAGTCAATATATAATTACATTATTCTTCATTTACAAAATTACCTCAAACATAATAGCACTCAGTGCAGCAGTGTTACTAATCTGATCATTTAAAATATATTCTTTAAACTTTCAAAATGTAATTGGAAAAAAAGGATTCCTATCTAAAATTCCTTCCAAAACCTGGGCTAAAATTTGAAGTATAACAGATTTCTGAGAACATAATTTCAAAAAGTTCTAGAATCCCTTCTAAGGAGGAAGAAATTGGATTATTTTAACACTGAAATGTAAATAGTAACTTCAGAATTTCTGGAGGAACAAAACCTCTTTTTATTTAGTCATATTATTGGGAAATGTATAAAAAAGGAGATGTTTAAATGGGAAAGAAGTTCAGTTGGGATATTTTAAGCATTCATGATTTGTGAGTACTGTTATTCCTATGTTTTCTTCATACCAAAAGCAAATAATTCAATAAGATGCTTTTGTAATGGTATACTTGTCTGTCATAATTAGCTTATGAATCAAAAATTTAAACATTTCTATTTATCAGTATTAACCAAATAGCTAAACAATTTTAGTTTTATGTGAAATTTTGCCATGGTGATTTTTCAAATGTACAACTTTATATTCTTTCTCTTTACTATTGAGTGTTTGAAAGCATTGTGAACAAACCCCTTTTATTGGCTTCAGCAATCCATGCATTTTCTTAATCACATAATAGGAAGTTCTCATTAACATTGAATTCTATTATCCCCATATTGGTTTCTTCTGTTAAATGAAAACTAATCTATGTTTTTTGATTAATCATGTTTTTTTTCTTTCTTAGAGCTCAACTTCTGGATTATAAAGTGGCTCTGCACTTGACCAAGTATCTTAAAATGGAAAAGGATTTTTTACCATGGCAGAGAGTCATTTCAGCTATAACATATATCATTAGCATGTTTGAAGATGATAAAGAGCTATCCCCTATGATTGAGGTGATGTTAATGATATATCTTATGAAAGTAAATGTTTAGTCATTAGCAGACTAGAAAGATTTCTGAGAGAAGGAGCTCCTGGGAGACAAAAGCATATCTGCCTGCCAAGTACAATCAAAGGAAAGTGCAATGACTTGGAAAGTGTCAGTATTTCTGGTTCAGTATACCACTTAAAGGTATATTTTAGTGTTAAAAAGAATACAACGATTAATATTTTATTTAAAATGGACAATATTTTGGGGTTGCAGGGCTGGGTGAAAAAGGTAAAGGGATGAAGAAATACAAATTAGTAGTTACAAAACAGTCACTAGGCTGTAGAGTACAGAATAGTGAATATAGTTGAAATTACTGTAATGGCTGTGTGTAGTGCCAGATGGGTGCTAGACTAATCGGGGGGATCACTTCATAAATTAATTGAAACTAATATAAAATAATAAAAAATATATTTTTTTATAAAACAACATTTTAAACCCTAGATTCTAAGTAGATCCTTTTTGTAATGGACTTATCCAAGTCAAAATGAATTTATTTTTACCGAAATATATTATATTTCATGTTATTTTGACAATAACATTATTGTTACTGCTGTTATTTCCACACTGAGGTTTTATTACAAGGTAGTCATTTTAAATACTTTACTTTCTGCAGCACTTTGGCAAGGCACTTGTAATTTTAAACAAATTCTAGATTCAAATCTCTAGCTCTTCCACTTAGTAAATGAAAGAACTTGGACAAATGATTTAATATTTGTGAGTCTTAATTTTCTTTGTATGATAGGAATGTTAGCACTTGGTTGCCTATGGTAATGGGATAGCGAGGAACATGTAATATAAATGTCCTTTGTAAATCCAAAAGCAATATACAAATATTAGTTATCATTATTATTATTTTATAAATTCCTGAGCAATCTCATTAGTGCCATAAGTATGTCAGGTGTTATTCTATTTTTCAAAAATGTTAAGTAAGAAGTGGAAGTTAAAAGAGGCTTGCCCAAAGTTTTATAAAACACTGGAGACTGATCAGGATGGTCTTAGCTTCAGGATTGAAGCTAAATTGCAATGTGGTAAGAACTGAATATATCCCTTTCATGAAGACAGGCTCAAAGTTCTCTGAACTAGTAGAAAAAAAATGATTGGAACAGAAGGGGCTGTAGATTATAATAAATGAGAGACTATTGGTAAATAATGGATTATTACTCATTGAACATGATGTTTTTATTTCAGGAATACTTCAGAGATCAAGTGAAACCCATTGCAGATGATCTGACATGGGATGATACTGGAGACCACCTCGAAAAGTTATTTTTTACATTTTTAAACTAATATTAATTTAATATCTGTTTGTGTGTTCTAAAATGTATTGAAAAGTGTGTGTTTGTTTCCTAAGGTTACTCCGTACTTCGGTGTTAGGGCTTGCATGCAAAATGGGAGACCAAGAAGCCTTGGGCAATGCTTCTGAGTTATTTCAGCAGTGGCTAAGTGGGACTGTAAGGTGACTGTCCACCATGTTTTCATTTCTAGAAGATTTTAAACTGCGAAATGAAAACTTCAAATATCTGAAACACTGTTTATTCTTCTAGGATTCCTGTAAATCTCAGGCTCCTGGTATATAGGTATGGAATGCAGACCTCTGGCAATGAGACTTCATGGAACTACACTCTTGATCAATACCAGAAAACTTCATTAGCTCAAGAAAAAGAAAAACTGCTGTATGGATTAGCATCAGTGAAGAACGTTACTCTTTTGTCAAGGTAAGTTGGAACTCTTTTTTTTCATGTCTATGAATGGCATTTGATGGTTTCAGTCTCTTTTAGATGCTAATTAAAGTATGATATATTTCCAGAAAATCTATTATAAATTATTTTTCCTGCCAGAAACAAAGTATCTATGTAATAGTGGCTTAAATAATAAAGAAATGTAATCTCATATGAAAAAATGCTGGAGGTAGACAGTTTTCAGCTGTGTGCAGTGGTTCAATATTTTTGTCTAAGACCTGGGCTCCTGCTCTTTCTGTTTTGTCACCTCAACATGTTGGATGTCTCATGACTTCCTGAGCTCCAAACATTTTTTTTTTCCACACATATGTGTTCAATGGAAGAAAGACAGGAGCAAAGAGTCCCTCCTCACAGGGTGCTATATGTTACGTTAAGAGGTCAGTTCCCTCCACTTCCCCTCATAATCCAGAACTGGTCACACTTGATCACATGAGTCTACCACTTGATCATTTGTGGACTTGGAGGAACTTAAATTCCTTTTACTGATTTGGGTCAATCATGATACTCTAAAGCTGAGATGAGAGTCTACCTTCCCTAGGATCAAAGATACCTTGATTCAACCCCTGAACAAAACTGGTCTCTGTCAGTAGAGGAGTGTCTGCCACAATATGCACACACGCACACACACACAAAGTGCATTTACAGTCCACTCAAAAGGTGTAAAGACTGCTCGAAGCTCATTTATGAATCTGCTCCCACTCTCACATATGACCCAAATCAACTAACTTCTGCCTTAATTAGTGTTTTTGCTTAGTTATGGTCTTTGAGTTATTTACTTCATTCATTTAATCAACACTTATAATATCCTTTCTATGTATAAGTATCTAGATTTGGGGAATAAAAATGAATGAGACATGATATCTATCCTTGAGAAACTCATAGGTGCATGGGAGAGGCAGAATGTAAATTATAAATTACAATGCAGTAAGCAATTTGTAAGGACTACCAGAAACAGTTTGTTTTCACCTGGCAGGACCAACAATACACCTTCACCATCTTGCCTCAAGGCTATATGTCAGTTCTGCTCACTTCCCTAAGACAGTCTACCAAGAACTTGACCATCTTGACAGTCCATAAAACATCACATTAATCTATTACCTGGATGGCATTGTGCTAATTATATCTGATGAGAAAATTAACAAATGCTTAGATGCCTTCCTAAGACATGAATCAGAATGTAAAAGATAAATTGCACAAAAATTCAGGGGCCCACCCCGCTAGTGCATTTCTGAAAGTTGAATGGTCTAGAGCATGTTGAAATATTCTCTGTAGATACAGCCAGGGCATAAATTTAATAAAAATCTATTGATTTGGCTGCTTAATTTATTGATTTGGACTTATTTGCATTATACTACAATTATACCCAACTAATCTAACCATATAGATTACATTGGGAGGTTGTTTATTACAATCTTGTGAAGAACAAATAAGACTTAACTGTGATTCCATAATAAAATAAGAGTATAAATACTTTCCCTTAACTTATGGCTTCCTTTTTATAGTTCAGTGGGATAATAGATAAATGGGTAAAGTGTTTCTATTTAATAGATACAATTCCTTATTTAATTAATATTTAAAATTGTGATGTTTATTGTTTTTACTACTTTCAAAATAATTCAATTTTTAATGTTTCTGTAGTTTATATTTCAGTAGTCCTCAAAATCATAGGTTTTTTTTAAAAAACGATTAAATATTTTTGAAAAAAATTAAATTGTGTTTTACCATTTGTCATATTTAATTAACTTTGTTGATTTGTGCATTGAGAATCGAATTATAGGAATGAAAGCTATGTTCTATTAGAATTTAGCTAAGGGTGAACATTAAAATTCATTTTGAATTTTTGGCTTGTCTTAGGTATTTGGATTTGCTCAAAGACTCAAACCTTATTAAAACTCAGGATGTGTTTACAGTCATCCGATATATCTCATATAACAGCTATGGCAAGACCATGGCCTGGAATTGGATACAGCTCAACTGGGAATATTTAGTCAACAGGTGGGATGATCAGATAATAGTTTGTTGTTCTCTTTGTTGGATACTATTTATAAGTTCTTTCTTTTTCTCTTTACTGTACTTCTTCTGACATCTGTACAATATATGAAATGGCATATTATACAAGTTAAAGGATCATAGTATTTTCCTTACAGAGAAGCAGTATACTAATTAATTTTCAGCATAATTTCTTATTTTGGAAAATATTGTTTCTACCTGATTTATAGAATTCTGAGATCTGAAGAAATGCCTAAATCACATTATTTTTAGTTTGATTAAAATAAGTTAATATAATTCTGCCTGTTATGCAAGCACCTAGCATAATTCCAGGCACATTTTTAGTTCTCAATTAATATTTAATGAAAACTAAATGAGAATTCCTGGACTTAGGTTCAAATTATAGCCCTATATCTTACTGAACTTATATGGATAATAACTTTTATCTCCCTTGACCAGATAATTAAATTTTAGGTATTTTGAAAAGTTCTTAAAAGGGAACTATGTTTCTCAGGCAATAACAGTTTTAAAATGGGAAATAGTAAATTAATTAAAGGGATGCTTTCCCAAATTTCTTATTTCTTTGGTCTCATACAGAAAAAATATTGCTATTCTTGGTCCCGATCTTCTAAATTTAATGCTTATTTTCATTAAAAAGATATTTCTTTGACAGGGTATGAAATATAATATAGGTTATATATGCCAATCAAATGTGAAAATATTAACCAAAAGACACTTACCATCTGTAATCCCCAACCCAGGAAATAACCTCTGTTATCCTTTCCTAATTTCTTCTGTCTTCCTGTCGGCACTACCTAGTTGATTGCCTTATCAGAAATACTAACTATGATGATAACTTTTATTTCTATTCTCTTTTCTACTCTACAATTCACCAGAGTGCCACTATGTTGCTTTACATTTCTCATTCTTCTGAGATCCAGATTATATCTCCAGCTCTCAGCCAAAATATCTTCCATTGCTTTTGCTTATTTTTGATAAATTTTTGCCTTTTCTATTCTTGCAACAATTGAGTGTAACTGCTCATCCACCTCTATGAAGATTAATTGGCATATGGGTGTGTGTGTGTCCATGTGTGGGTTCATGCTTTGTTCATCTGTTTATAATCGTTTCAATAAAATGCTTGCTTTAGAATGAATAAATCTACCTATTCAGAACATGTTGAAATGTGGGGTTAACAGTTCATATTCTGCAAGATAATACCTTCCATTTTGAAAGATACATACTTAGTGACAAATATTGTGTAGTTTTAATTTGAAAAGACTATAAAATGGTTTTTTTGGTATATGCTGCAAGAAACCTATATAGATGAAGAGCAATGTTTATTTTTGCATTGTTGTGAAAAGAGAAGCAAATAATGTTAATTTTGCATGATAAAATGGTCATCCCCTTATTGTTTATTAAATAGAACAGTGATCCTCAACCTTTTTGGCACCAGGGACCCGTGCTCCTGTGAGAATCTAATGCCTGATAATCTGAGGCAGTGATGCTAGTGCTGGGGGACAGTTGCAAATACAGATGAAGCTTCATTCACTTGCCTGCCACTCACTTCCTGCTGTGTGGCCCTGTTCCAAAAAGGCCACTGACTGGTACCGGTCCATGACCCAGGGGTTGGAGATCCCTGAAATAGCGTATTTCTCAAGGCCTATTTGAATAGCTCCGATGTAATTTATTTCAACTGATGCATTTTTCATTTTTAAAAACTGGTTCATTTTTATTCCTCTTTAAAATTTAAGAAGTACTAAAAAACAGGTGTAACCTTGTCATAAGTCATAAACATCTGGCCTTAAAGTAAATCTATTAGACATAATACTGAATTTTTTTCAAGAAAAATAAATCGATAAACTAATTCTAGTGCTAGTTCCAAAACCCTCACCCAAGGTTTTTAATATTTCTTCACAGTCTAGTGATCTAATTCTCATGAGGTATTATTTTAAATAACTTCAAACATAAAATTATGTAATAACCATATATTCAACATACACACATGAAAACGGACAATCTCCAATATCAATTATGGTTAGTTTAAATAAAGAGAATTTTCGCATTAAAATTGGATAAGACCAATTAAATAGAAATGAGCCAAGCTTTATCCAAATATTTCCAAACTCTTGAACATTTTCTAGACTTCAGAATGAGTGGTTTTACTGCCTCTATTTCTGAACAATTTATTGTCATCCTAAAATAAATAAGCTGCTTTTTTTATAAAGCTTTTATGATGTGATTTTTATGACAACTGATGGCCACACCACTAATGTCTTTTCCAGTTGAGACTTAACCACAAAGTTCCAAAGATATTTCAGAAATTTTTCTTTGCTTTTTTAAAATTTCACTAAACTAATAGATGAAACTGAAGTTGGATGAACCCCATAAATCAGTTGGTTTTAATTTATGACTATGGCTGAAAAAATTAAGTCAATGAGACATGACTGGAATTATTTAAACAATACTTCATAAACAAAATAATTTAATAAATACTTTGTGTTCATCAAAATCATTTATTTTGGGAAACATAACCATACTTATGTAACTATTAAGTCTGAGAAGATTATTTTCACATAAATGTTTTTTTTAAATGTTTAAGATATAATTAAATCTTTATTTTTGTTTTAAAAGTGATGAATGTGATAAATATATAGCATATTTCCCCTTCAGTGCTAAACTTTATGTGGTATTACTGGTTTCTTAGGTATGAACATATTTTGTTCTTACACTTCTAGTGTTTATATAGGTAGTTGCAGTCTTTATTCAATCGATTCATTGCTAGTTCTCAAATATATCCTTTAATTTTTAGTCCTTAATAACAAAATAGAAGAGGAAAATTATAGAAATTATAGAAGGGCATTGAGAAAAATTGTTTTCTTACCTGTAATTAGCAGATTTTCTTTGAATCTGTAGAATATAATTACAGTGACTTACTGCGATTTCCTTTTTTAAATCCCCATTTTCTTATTATAATAGTATTATTGTTTTGCACAAAATGCAGATAAGCAAAAATAAGGATGCAAAAATCACCCACAATCCTACCATCTAGAAATAACCCCTGTTGTCACACTCTTGTTTTTTAAGTCATTTTTTATGGCAATTTATTTACAGAAATAGAATCATATTATTCATTTGGTTTTATAACCTTTTTTCCCCAGATCATTCTATATTGTGGACATCTCTTCATGTCTTTAAGTGTGCTTCTTCAATGTTATTTTTAATGCTCACCTATGTTCCAATGTGTAGATATGTCTTAGTTTATTTAGCCAGTCTCCATCTGTTAGACAATAGAATTGTTCCAAATTTGCCACTATATAAATAATGTATTGATGGATATCTTTGAAACTGAATCACTTTGTTCTTTGAATGTCCTTGACAATTTCCTTAAAATACAAATAATACTGGAAGTAATACTGTTCTGTTAAAAGATGATTTTATTTTTAGGGTTTCTGATGAATGTTGCAGAATTGTCACCCAGAAAAAATTTTACTAATAACTTTGCCTATGTTTCCAACCTTTGCCAATGCTCAGTGCTGTCATTTAAAAATATTCTTGCTAACTGAGTATGTTAAAACTGGTATCTCATTTTAAATTATAATTTTTTCATCTAGTAAATCTCAATGAGCATCTACTGTGTGCTAGGCACTGTGCTTGGCATTGAAGATACGATGGTAAAGGGAAACAAATCTGGTTCCTTGTCCTCATGGAGCTTAGAGTCTAGCAATGGAAACCATTATTAAGTAAAGAATCACACAAATATGTGTATACTTAAAAATGTAATAATTTCAAATAGAAGAGGTTCAGGGCACACTGAAAGTGTGTAGATGGAAAACTGACCATGTCAAGAGAAGTTGGAGGGTTAAGGGCTTCCCTAAGAAAGTGATGGTTGAGCTGAATTCTGAAAGAAAGACAGGAGTTAATTAGGTAAACAGGAAGTGAAGCATTCCTGGCTGAATGCTTACTCTCAGAAAAGAGGAAAGGTAAGCTTTGCAGAGTCACATTAAGATTTGGGCTTTTGTTCTAAGAGCAGTAAGCCACTAAAGAGTTTTAAGTAAGAAAATGAAATGATCGATTTTACTTTGAAAAGAAATCTCTGGTGCTGAGATACAGCACAGACCTAGATGGGGGCCAAAGCGAATTTGGGGAAAGCAGGTAGAGAGCTATTGCAGTAGTCTTGACAAAAGGTAGTGGTAGATTGAACTATGGATGTAATGATGGAGATAAGGACATAAGAACAACATTTTGAAATAGATGGTAGATTAGAAATGGGAGATAAAAGTGAGCTGTCAAGAATAATGCCATAATTTTGAGAAAAGATACGATTTGCAGAATGGTGAGTTTCTTTTGCTGTATATGATGCCTTTGAGTCTCTTGAGATGTTAAAACAAAGATTGTCTCAAGGTTATAAATCCCTTGTCAAACACTACTTAAGGTTTGAGTAAACTAAAGACTAAAAAATGCCCATTAGATTTATTGGCATAAAAGCTATTGTAATTCTAGAAAGAGTTTTTCAGTGGAGTGATGGGGGCAGAACCCAAATTAAAACAAATCAATAAATGAGTCAGTGGTGAGGAGATGGAAACAAGAACTACAGAGAAATATCTTGAAAAGTTTGACTATGAATGGGAATGTGAGAGAAAAGAAATTAAGAAATATAACAGATCAAGGGAAATGGTTTTTTTTAATAAAATAAAATTTTAATATGTTTAATATATTTAAAAGTGGATAAGAAATATCCAGTGAAGAATGAAAAATTTAATATGTAAGAGAGAAAAAATATTTTTTTAAATTAAGCTTTTAAGAAAATGGCGAGAACTAGGAATCACAGTACAGGTGATAGAAGGAAAATAGGTACATTTGTATGTTTGTAAGCTAAAAGATATAGGAGTTACTATGTATTTTCCCGGTGAAGTGAAGGCAAGGGAGTGGGGAGGAAGGGAAGAAGGGGAGTGTTTGGAGGTTGGAAGAGAGTGAAAACATTTGGGAAAAAAAAACAATTCAAAGAGGAAGAAAATGAGTTTGCCAGGATAATGTAGGATGATTGCCAAGTTAGAGAGCTTATTTAAGAATAATATCCATGAATTTAAAGTGAGACATTATAGGGAAAGTTGGATGACCTCCCTTGGGAGAACTTGGCTACCTGGTGCAAACAGAAAAAATGGCTGTTGATTTCATCTAAAGCTGGAGTTTTGCCAGACACAAACTATTAAAATAGAGAGTTTAGAGCTTGGGCAAAAATGTTATTGAAAGTGGTAGACTGTGAAATCTAGATTGTATAAGGAAATAAGGGAAAGAAAAGGAAGAGCTGATGGTCCAGGAGAAAGTAGGGGTAGAGATGGTCAATGCAACAGAAATCCAGATTTAGTCAAAGAATGGTCATAGTGGAAACTGAAAGATAAATTACATCATGGAGGGTGCATAAGCAAATCATTTTATAGGAAGAGTACTTATGGATGATCACAAGGTATAACCATGGGAATTGGTGGCAGAGGTGGAGTGAGGAAAATATCACTGGAAATAAGGAGGTCAAAAAAACTAAAGAGCTAAGATGTTATATTAATTACCCATGCGTACTTCGAAATCACCTCACAGAATGGAATGACTTGGAGTAGAGAGGAAAACTAGGAGTCAGGTGCCAAAGTGCATCATAAATGAGGTAAGAAAGAATAACCTGAAGGAACATAGGTCTTTATAGAGAGTGGAAGAATAATGGTCTGGAAGCAGCAATGGTGGGACTCGACACACCTATTCCATTTCTGACCTGGTGCTATGAACAATGAGAGAAAATAAATATTCCCCAAATGAGAAGTGGTATTCCCTGTAAAGGGATAGTTCCAGAGCACTAGATTGAATGGTTCAAGAAAGTGGGAATATCTAGGAGGCTAAGTCAGAGTGGCAAGAAGGTACACATATTGTAGGGACAGTGTTGAGAATAGATGCCTCAGAATCTTAGATTTTTGGATAGTGGCTGATGAGATGAAGTAAAGGGAAAGTGATTGCCTTAGACTTCTAAGACATAAAAGATGAGAGACACGGTGGATTTAAATTCAGTGGTGTCGGTGATAAGCGTGAGCATTGGACCTAGTGCACTGAAGATCATGGTTAATTATTAGAACTTTTCATCTTCTTCCCATTGGTATATTCTCTTTCTATTTCTTCTGCAAACTACCAATTCATTATTTTGCTAATTTTATGTTTGCATATTTCTCCCTCTCACTAATTGGAAAGATTCTTTATATAGTGAAAATACTTGTTCTTTTTAAAACAAAGTAATAAATTTTGACTTTTAATTTTATGGCTTTTTTTAGTATGAAACTTTAAAAAATGCATGTGCAACAAACTTTATCAGTTTTTATTTTTATGGTTTCTGCCTTTGCTATGTGATAATTTTAAATGTAAAATTTCTCCTACTGCTTGTTGACTCCTTTATCTAATGATATATTTTCTTTCATCCTTCCCCAAACTTCCAACAGCTTACATTTTATACATATTTTCATAGTTGTTTTTTTTGCACTGCGATTAGTAGCGATGAGATGTTTACCTATCACCAATCATTGGTGTTATGGCCTATAATGAAATTTCTGATTCTTGCTCTTTAAGAGAGAAAATACAAAAGGGACAAGGATGTAGATGATATTCTATCTTTGCACTTAGCTTCAAGTGTCTTTACTTAGCCAGGCTGATACAGATTATAACTCCAAAATACAAGTAGTTAATAAAGCTTTTTGAAAGCAAGATAAATAGCCTATATTCAAATTTCTGTATATGCAGGAAGATCCGTAGAGTATTAGCATAAAGGTGATAGAGCTTTTCTGCTATAACAGAAAGATAGAAGTAATTATTTCTCATTCAGGTTAGTCTCCTTAAGTCAGCATTCCTAGTTGTTAGATGGTTTTGCAGCTTTAAACCTAGAGCCTCATCCTATCTGTGATTAAAACTTGGAGAAAGAGGAGGATAAAAAAACAAACAAACAAGAAATCTAAGGCAAGCAATTTTCTTAAGTGAAGAGGCATAAGTTGAACATACCACTTCTGCTTCTGTTCCAATGATAAGAATTGGGTCACCTATCTCCACCTAGCTATGAAGGAAGCTGAGAAATGTAGACTCTAGCTGGGTTTTCATGTGTACAGATGAAAGGAGAGCTGATTTCAAGAATAAAACAAGCTGTCTACCATGTCTGGGAAAGTGACATGAATCTATCTACAAAAAGAAGTGCAGAGTTTCCTAAGAATTTCTCCTGAATAGAATTATTTTAGATTAAATGTTATGCTTACTTTGAAAATTACTTTTTAAAAAATCCACAAAATAAAAAGGAAATGTCTGCATCTAGAGAAAAGATTTAAAGTGCTGTGTACTTATATTCCCTTTTACTCCTCTAAATTTCTCTTCAGATACACAATCAATGACAGATACCTTGGCCGGATAGTCACAATAGCAGAGCCATTCAACACTGAACTACAGCTCTGGGAGGTATGAAGATAAAACCTCTAAACTTGTCTTAGAAGGAACAAAACTAAACTTTTCCAAAAAACAGAAATGGTATTTTCTCTATTCAGATCACAGAAGACTAAAAGAAAGGAATAATTATTATATCTAAGTAAATGTATACCTATAATAAAAAAAGATGAAAAAAATCTGTACATATTCAGCATAGACAGAATCATTGTAGGCCTAACTACATAGGACACATCAGCAACAACATAATGTTTTTAAATTCTATTTCTGACCTGTGCTTGGTCAAATCCTCAGACACAGAACCCTCAGATATGAAGGGCCAACTGTACATCAAAACATCATGATATATACCTTAACTGTGTGCAGTTATTGACAACTGTATCTCAATAAAGCAAAAAAAAAAAGTAACAATTAAAGAATAAAATACAGACCTATTTTTTCTAAACTGAAAAAAATTCAAATAAGCAAGAAACAAAGTTTAAGATATGAGTAAAGCAAGGTCTTGAGAGCTTAGAAGTCTGCATGAGATCATTCAGGTTAGCAATGCATGAAAAGTATATCTCCCCTTTCCTAGTAAATGTTATCCCAAAATAAGATGGTCAAGATGTGATTCTTTTCAGAATTTGTAGTTTTGGAATTTCAAAACTAAATCTAAATCTTTTAGGTTTCAAATATCTCAATTCCCGGAGGAGAGAAAACGTATATTAATATTGGACACATTATATGAATTTTCAATATCTGTGTATTAGATATTGGAATGTTAACATTCTTCTGTGTGTTAAGAAACAAAATAGTTCTTATTTTTGTAAATAGCAAATCATACTATGCTTGAGTTTAGGGGAGAGTTTTGGAGGGAAGTAAGAAGATAAAACCAAATTTAACAGATTTTTATGTGTTCTTAATAAGTGAACTGCAAGTATATTAACTGTTCTAGACCCCAGGAGTGAAAGGCTAAACACAGCCATCATTCCAGGGACCACCCTGGGGAATGTACAGAAAACAGAGAATCCAGCAGTAGCAGGAACGGGCATGCCAGCTGCTAGCATGCTGCTCTCTTTCCC